AAAAAAATTTCAATTCCACCATTGCACGTCAAACTCGGGTTAATGAAGCAATATGTAAAAGCCTTGGATAAAGATGGTGAATGGTTTAAGTATTTAGTGGACAAATTTCCAAAACTTTCGGATGCAAAAATAAAAGAAGGCGTGTTTGGTGGGCCTCAGATACGAAAATTATTATTCGACAAACAATTTGTTCTAAAAATGAAACCTATAGAAAAAGTTGCCTGGTTCAGCTTGAAACAAGTTTGTCTAGAATTCCTGAAAAACAAAAAGCGACAAATATATGTAGAGAAATTGTGGCAAAAATGGTGGACAATTACAAACAATTAGGTTGCTTAATGAGTTATAAGGTCCACTTTTTAGATTCCCATATTGATGAGTTTTCCGAAAATTTTGGTGATTTCAGCGAGGAACAAGGCGAGAGATTTCACCAAGATATAAAGGACATGGAAAAACGCTACCAAGAAAAATGGAATAAAAACATGTTAGCAGACTACTGTTGGATGCTAAAAAGAGACATACCAGAGGCCGAAAATTCAAAGAGGAAAAAAAGAGCTCCTCTCCGGAAATCATTTAAATCAAAGAGGGTAAGGTATTCAAGAAACAAAGATTAAAACTGCTTTAAATTTATCATTTTGAATTTTTAAAAACGGACATTATATTTATTTTTAACGACCCCGAAAACCCCAGAGTAACGATTATCGAGTGAATCTGATAAATTTTAAACTTTTTCGGCCGCCATATTGAGTCCACTATTTTTAATTTTTAACAACTGACTTCAAATTCGTAATTAGCGACCCCGAAAACCCCCGAGCATCGATTTTCAAGGAAATCCGAACAATTTTTTTAAAAAACCTGCCATTTCAGATCCGCCATTTTTAATTTCTTTTATGTATTAAATTTTTATGTAATTAGAGTCACGGAATTAAAATCAATTGTAAAAATATGCGATTAGCTTGTTTAAGGTATAAAAAGTAAATAAATTCCCATGCAAATTAATATATTTCTCAGACTTCACCACCTTACGAGGCGTGTAAAAAATACCAAAACCAAACTTTTAATCCGATTACTTTTTTCTCTTTAGATACACCCTAAGGAAGAGAATCCACCATATGGCACTCTTGGCACTCGAAATTTTTTTTTTGTGCCTGTGTAATAGAAGAGAATAAGACATGGAAGGAAAGGGCAATTTCGAGAAAATTGGACCAAAAGAAGAGGAAAGAGAAGGATAAAGGATGCCAAGTAAAAAGAGGAAAGGAATGTATATGGGTAAATGGAGTGAAGTGGATGGTTAGCGAAGCAACAGGAGAAGTGGTGAAAGATGAAAGGAATAGAGAAAGAAATACAGCGGTGGAACGTGAAAATGGAAATAAAGAAAAGGTTTTTTGGGACAAGAATGGAGAAGGGAGTGGAGGAAAGAGTATAAGGAAAGATCGGGAATAATGACAGCTTTCTGGAAGGGGCAAAAAGAGTTTCAAAAAGGAAGAGGAGCAGGAGGTATAATTTCAGGGATCAGGGTGGAGATTAAGGAGACAAAGAGCTTGGTAAGAGAAGAAGAGGGATGCATGGTAAGGAGAATAAAAATAAGATGAGAACATATAGATATAATAGGGATATATAGAAGAAAAGGGGAGGAAAAGGGAAAAATCTAAAAGGATGAATGGAAAAGGGAAAGGACAGTAAAGTGATAATTGGAGAGGACTTGAATGTGAGAAATAGTTAGAAATAGTTAAGTTATTAAAATAAATTTTATTTCAAAAATTAGTTCTATATATATAAATCTCATTGTTGTAGCACTTTATTCTTAATTTTAATGTGAATTACATTAAAAATTTATATTTTCTGTAAGTTAAAAAGTTTTTTTAATTAAAATATTTTTTATTAAGTAAAATTTTAAAACACAGATAAGACTGAACCCTAAGAAAACGATTTTTTTGAGTCAAACAATTTATGTTTCAATCAAACTTAGATTATCTTTGAAATGCAGTCAAACATAAGGTAAATGTACCGGTGTTCGTAAGGGTGTTAGTTATCGGCAGGTAGTATATTATTTTGTAAAAAATAAGGTTTGTGGAAGTTTTCCGAGTTATTAAATGCGTGTTTTGAAAAGTACAAACCTTCTGACATCGAATGCATAAAAGTGCGGCGTGTAAGTAGAGAATTAACAATTAAAAAAAATATATTTGTTCAAGACAGGTCTAATCATTCACTAGCACAACACCATTGCTTAAATGTTTAAGTTAGGTGATTGACAAGTACAAAAAAATTTGTAGTTTATTCTATAAAGTGAATGGAAGGATAAACTTTAGTTTTACACTTATTATTGATTAATTAAAGAAATATAAAAGAATAATTAAATATTTATTGTTATTATTAAGAAAAACAATAACTAAAACACAAATTTCACTGTGTATCTGTAAATAATAATAGTTATGTAATTATACAATAAAATAGATAAAAATATCAGTGACGATTACTAAGGCAGTCAGTTTTTATCCCTGCCGATAACTGACGCATTTGGGTACGAACTTTGTTTATAAATAACTGCACTGCAAAAACAGGTGTCTATATTTGAGGCACTTTTGTCCTCATTTTTAAGACGTTTTGGGATGTCTTTTAGGAAGACGTTAATAGTGACTATTTTGGAGACGCATAAAGTGTCTTCATTTAGATGAAATTTACTGCTTGAATCGATACATAACCTAAAAATGCATATATGCATTGATACTGCGCGGGAAACTTTCATCGAGTCTTAAATTAGCAAAAATGACTTAAACATAGACACTCTTAGCGTCTACATTATATGTCTCAAATTATAAACCACTGAAAGTAACTTGCTTACATTTGTTAGACGCAAGAAGCGTCTTAAATTTTTAGACACTTTGCATCGAAGACAGATGAATTAGTCATTTATTCCTTATTATGTCTTAAAATAAGACGTTTTGAACCTTATAACCCAGCGGTCAATAAAGTGTCTATTATTGCACTAGGAAAATAAAATGTAATTTAATGACCGCTGCTCACAGATCAATAATGGACTCTCTATTGACCAGCAAAGCACATAATATACTATAAAATTAACAAAGTATTTGTAAAATGGCATACAAAAAGTTTAGTTCATTCGGTAAAATATATATTCTTATAATTATTTGATCAATATATTTGGGTAGTTCTACAAACGAAGGAAGAAAATGAAGAAATTTTTGGCACAACATTTTTTTTACGTTCAGGTTTTAAAAAGTAGGTTAAATTCAAGTTAAAAGTATTATCAAAGTTACCTAAAAGTGGCCAGTCAAAAAAATAAAATTTTAAATTTTACATCTTAAGCACATGTGTATTCTGTCAGAAAGTGCCAGGAAACTGAGAACCAGGAAACTGAGAATTTGGTGATTTTTCGTCTAAAAAATTGAAAAACAAGGCTTAATAACAAAATTCGGAATACTGGTCAACAGGGAATAAGGTTCTACGACACCTCGAGCAACAAAAGTACAAAAACATAAAATATTTTTTTTAAAAATGCGTGCCAGGAAACTGAGAATTTGTCTGACCAAATGCCCATTTCGATCACAAAGTACAAAATTTTAGTTAATTGAACTGCAAGTTAAGTAAAATGCAAGTGATATCATATTTAGTTAACCTTTACTAAGCACTGTGAAAAATATTGAATTAATCGGAATAAAAATGCCAGGAAACTGAGAATTAATTCGAGGGACAAAATTTAAGATAATATTTTTTTAATAAAATATCAAGTATTGTAACAATTATTTAAATCTTTGTGAAGTACAACTATTTGAAATTATTATCCAAGTGTAAATTTGTATTTAATCGCTTAAAAATAATATTTATATAATTTATTAACTTTCATTTTCACATTGGGACATGCCAGGAAACTGAGAATTTAGCACTTGAATGCTTATTTTTTGCAAAAAAATTTTTTCTAAACCGGGTAACGTTTTGAGGCATAATAGTAATCATTAAGCACTACAGTACCCATTAAAAATAATTTTATTTTTTTTTAAATTAATGTAAAAAACAACCTTGGACAACATATATTCCCTCGTTTGTAGAACTACCCATTTATGTCATAAATACTTCTGTCTGTTAATATACACCAACGAAAACTTGGAAACGCTTCATTTTCTTGTATAAAAGTTTCAGTTTTCAAAAGTAGTTAACACTAAGCAAACTATATATGAAATTCAGACATGATTTACAAACAATATTTTCGACAGGGCATTGACCAAAACATCCAGAAAACGTATGTTTTGTTAATTATTTTTTCAAAAAATAAATAAATTTTTTTAATCTAACACGTTCTTATATTAAATTACACAATCAAATGTATAGGTATAGCAGTAGGTATATTACTTAAGTGGTTTTGAAAATCGTAATTTTTAATAAAAACACTTACAAATATTCAAAATTTAATCTAGGGGGAAGTCTACTGTGACAAGGAAAAAAACAGGCCGATTTTTGCGGATTTTTTTTCTTACAAAATATGACTGGTACATTAAATTAAATTAAACAGTCATCTTTATTATATATTCAAGTATTTGTAAAAAAAAATTTAAGTCAAAATACTTAAAATTGCCGTCGTGGCACTCCTTCAAGCGCAAGCCCGTCCTTTTTTAGGTGCACAAACGGTGTACATGAAATCTCACGTCTGGGTGATCTAAAACAAAAAAACAAAATATGGTTGTCATCTACATAGTACTGACTCTTGTCTGACGAAGGATTTTGTCGATATCTTTTTTTATTTAATTGTTTTAAACAATAATAAAATCAAATGTAAAAAAATTGAAAAAATTTTAAGAATTCTTTTTTTTGGCGCCAAACTTTTTTATCGACAAAATCCTTCGTCAGACGAGAGTCAATAATAATATGTAGATGACAACCATATTTTGTTTTTTTGTTTTAGATCACCCAGACGTGAGATTTCATGTACACCGTTTGTGCACCTAAAAAATGACGGGCTTGCGCTTGAAGGAGTGCCACGACGGCAATTTTGAATATTTTGACGTAAAGTTTTTTTTACAAATAATACTTTAAAACCCTTTGGTGAATTACGAGCTATACTCACCTACAAACAGAAAATTTAGGGTTTTCTATTTTCGATGAAGTAGTCAGAAGATATTGTGACTACATCAAAAGTACTTTTTTGAAAGGGGTCTAAAAAAACCTGTTGCAACGGGCCTGAATTTTGAGAATTTTCGTAAGCAAATAAGAGGAATAGAAAAACTGGTAAGAGCAAGTTACTTAATTAATAATGTGCTTTAATATATAAAAGTGCTTAAATAAAAAAGTGTATTTATTCTGTTAAAAAAGTACTGAAGAAACATACGTTCTTTGGCCGTTTTGACCTTCATAACCTCTTAATACTGTTTATATCCTGTTCTTATCTGGTTTTTTAACTGAAAATTTCAAATTAGAGAAATTCAATTCACATTTATTCACATCACAACTGTTGTCTTATAGATCATCGTCTCCAATTAAATTAAATGCATTGTTTTCCATCTTATTGCAGTCAATTCTATGTAAATTAGATAATATTTTAGAATCTTTTCTTGTAATTTTGTTCTTCTTTAATCCAATTTCCTCACTCACATTTTTCATTATAGGTTGTTTAGCGAATGATCCGGTTTCAGTATTCTGCAAAATAAAAGTAAAATTTGTTATTATAAGTACTTTCAATACATGTTTTACGGACGTATACAAAAATTGTCAATCTGTCTTATTTACATTGCCAAAAAGAACAGACATGTAACATCCACTGAATTTCATGAAAACTTCTGCAATGGATTACTTTGAACGCGAGATTATGTAAGCCACAAACGTCATCATGCGAAAATTGCTACTAATTTGTTTTAGAAGAAACGTTGGAGAGACTCTTATTCAATTTGTCAAAAGGCGGATAGATTTTGAATGGATAACGTGCTATGAACAAAGGGAATTTTTATCAGAAAAGTTTTTTTGGTCAATTGTAGTATTTACAATCAACCAATGGTGCTCGAATTTAAATAAAATTCTAAATGGAAGCATAATGATTCATGGAGGAAGTATTGTTGAGCAAAATGCTAAACAGATGCACCTAAAAATAATTAAACAAAGTAAAGGCGTCAGTAAACAGTAAGTTAAAAAACAATAATTTAAATTCTACAATTTGCAATTTACAACATCAATAAGTGTTGTAATTTACGTGCCGTTTTTTTGCGACGTGACGAAAAAAACATCACATTGAGAATTTCAAATTATTTTAAACTTTTTAGGTAACCTAAGCACATTATCAAAAGAGCTAATTAAAAGTAAAAATTAAATATTCCTTCGATGGGAAAGTATGATAGTGTATTTTATAGGTAGGTATATGTATTTTAACCCGCTAAATCCGAATCTTAAAACAAAATTTGCGTAATAGCTTTTATGTCCCCGGGGGACATAAAATGAGAGTATTTTCAGCCCGATTCATGAAATTTAACTATTTTTTTTGCATTTTTCATTTAGTAAAAAAACGTTTTTTGGACATAACTTAAAAAAATGTTAGGACACTTATAAATCTTTTTCTTTAGTTTTGTAGAGTTTTTTTACACGCATCTTTTGAGCCCTAATTGAACATTTTTCGTCCATATTAACCGGAGATATTAAACTTTTAAAAATCAAAAATTTTGGAAAATAAGACTTTTTTAAAACTTTTGTTAAAAAATGTAAAAGTTTAGTTTTGTTTTGTATTTAGTTTTGTAGAGTTTTTTCAGACGCATCTTTTGAGCCCCAATTGAACATTTTTCGTCCATATTAACCGGAGATATTAAACTTTTAAAAATCAAAAATTTTGGAAAATAAAACTTTTTTAAAAATTTTGTTAAAAAATGTAAAAGTAACTTCAAAACATTATTACCATCTTGAAGAGCATTAAAAACGCTTCGATTGACCTATTTTTGAACCTGATTCGGGCAGAAATTATGAAATTATTGGTATTTGAAAAATCAAAAATTGTGGAAATTATCATTTTTCAACATTCCTGTTTATTAATTTATGTGTAATTATTAAACTATTATTACCATTTTATAGAATATATAAAAACACATTTTTTAGACCAAGATTTAATAATTTTTAACCCTTTTATAAAAAGTAATTCTTATATTTCAATTATTATTATTTCTATGAGGAAGCAAAGTGTTCATGAAATGAACACCAAAATTATAAAAATGTACAACTTGGCAGCGGTTTTTCCTTATCTTTCTAAATAACATTTGTTTTATACCCTTCAATCCTTTTTATCCTTGTACTTCTCTTTTTTTATCCACATTTTAATCTTAGTTATACCTTGGGTTTAATCTTAGTCTATCACCTCTCGATTCGATCTCTTTCCACACGGAGAAAAATGGAAAAATGATTTATGCAGTCAGTGTAGTACTTTCTTTCCTTTTTATCCTAACTTTATTCTAATGCCATACTTTGTGTATTCGACTTGCGTCCCGAAGGTTCAGGGTTCGAGCCTTCCTGCGTGCGAGATTTTTCAAATTTAGTTTATAAGAGAAACTTCTATTACTTTTCCAATTCCGTGATAGATGGCCAGAAATACCTCTCTCGCGCACGACTTGTCTCGCGAAGAGTATAAGTATCAGTCCCCTAAACAGGTGCTTCACAATAGTATCTTAGATCATAATATCAATAATTAATGTCTGCCACGACGTTTACAATTTTTTACTATTATCCACTGATCACGGATAATAGTACACAACTACAATTCTGTGGATTGGAGAAATTAATAACATTTTTATTATAACGTTGTTACCATTATATTATGTTAAATAAATATTAAATATATTAAAATTAAATAAAAATTAAATATTAAATAATTTGCTTAATATTATATAATTAAATATTTGGGAATTTTCAAGAAACTTGCAGTGTTGGCTTGTCCTAAGATTGCTGTGCAATCCTGCAGCAAGTAGGACCTTTTTGTACTTGCAGCAAACTTGCAGCAAGCTTACGTGTAAGATTGCAAATCTTGTGGTGTAAGTTTGCTGCAAGCTTGCTGCAAACTTACAGGTTACTTGGGACCTTGTTTTTAAGAATAATTTTTATTAATGATGAAATATATAAAACAGTACATTTAAATTTAAAAATTTAATAATTGTATTTTTTACTTTGAATGAAGCTTTATTTAGGGTGTCTACTATTTTTGTTCAACAAAATTCTCGGTTTTTTCCTGGCTTTGTTCTAATTTTTCCCGGTTTTTTTCTCAATAATGTCACATGCCACGTGTGTGACCTTTAAGTAACCTTAGACCAGACCTGTTACCAAGCAAACTTGACAAACACCCATCGATGAGCAATCTTTTTACAACCCTATTACGTCGATACACGGATGTGATCTGGGTATATAAGGCCCTAAATTTGGATCCAAAAGTCAGTATCTAGTCAGCATCCAGTCAGTATCTAATTTAAATCAAAGCGATCGACATCATCTCTGTACCAGTAGTCAGTGCGAATCTACTCGTTACCTACGATTATCCCAGTCTAAGTAATACCCATCTCGTGTGAGACCGAGCCGTTGTCAAATCTCCAAGCAGTAAAAATTGGAAAGGCGGTGCATCTGAACTGACTGTGGACGCACGAGCGGAGAACGGGTTTTCAGCTTCACAAAGAAGCAATAAAGGTAATTAACTAAATCTTTTCATCATATTCTTTCGATACAATTTCTATATCTAATAAACGCCTATTTGTTAAAGGTGTTTATTGGAAAAGGAACTGGTGTTCTCTCGGCAACATACAAATAACGAACTTCAAGAAATCATTATATACAATTTTATAATAAATTTCATTTTAACTAATTCTTAACTTTTATTCATTGATTCTTTTTTCCTCATTCCCAAATAAGATTTCTTCGGAATTTCTTATTTAAAACGAGGATAACAAATGTTAAGAGGTAAGTTACTTTTCACGTAACAATAAATTTAAATTTCTTTGATTTCGAACCTAAATAAATTTACAAATGGATTCTAACATTTTTATTAGAGTTTTTAGGAATAATTAAATTCTTTTTAAGAGTTTCTTAAATTTTTTTGAAAATAATGTTTTATTAATCATTTTAATTAAAAATTTGGAAAATAATTGAATTAAACAAAGAATTTTTTCAATTTTTTAAAATAATCTTATCTGTTCATAATTATAATTGAAAATTTGATTAATTCAATTTTATTAAAATGTATTAATACTAATTGAATTTTTGCAAAAAATTGTACTATTTATAAAAGTATGTAATTGAATCATTCCAAAGAATGTTATTATTTATGAAAATAATTAAATCTTTGCGTAGAATTTTATTAAAATTTTTGAAAATAATTGAATTGTGGAGAACAATTTAATTATTTATAAAGATAATTTAAATTTTAAGGAGAATTCTTAAGAAGAATTTTTTTACAGTTTCTAGAATAATTTAATTCTTTCGACGAATTTTAATAAAATTTTTAAAAATAATTACATTTTTCGAGGATTTTGATTAAAATTGTATTAAAAATAATTAAAATTCTGCAATGAGTTTTACTATTTATGGAAATAATTAAATATATTGCAAAGAAATCTTTAAACATAAAATTATAATTATGGTGACTAATTTCTCTTGATTATTTTCGAAAAATTTAAATAAAATTCTTTAAAAGAATTGAATTATTTTTAATCAAATGTAAAGAAATTTCAATTAATTCAAAAATTTTCAATTATTTGTTTATAAAAATTCAATTATTTTAAAACAACAGAATTGAAATATTTCAAAAATCTTATTTTTCAGAATTTTCAAAAAAAATTTGCGAAAATTCAATTTTATTATAAAATTCTAAGTGTGTATCTTTTTTAAATTAACTAATAAAAATTCTAATTAATTATATTCGAACTAAAAAACATGAATACATTAAAATGTGACTCTTTATAAATTTCAATTACTTTTCAATTATTAAATCAAAATACTTTGAAAATTCGATGTGTTAAAAAGTTTTTAAGGAAATTCTTTAACAAATTTAATTTTTTTTCAATTGAATTTCCCAAAATTTCTTTTAATTGGATAATATTTTAAAAATTTAATTACATTCTACATTCGAATCAGTGACTGAGTTTTTAATATCAAATTAATTATTTTTAATTAATTCAAATTAAGAGCAAATGTTTTTGTATAAGAATTAAAATAAAAAGCGATTTAATTTTGTTAGAAAAATTAGAAATTAGAAAATTAAAAAAAATAAAATTAATTAAATTAAATAAAATTAATAAAATTAAAAATTTTGTTAGAAAATGTTTTTATATAAAAATTGAAATAAAAAGCGATTTTTTAAAAACAAATGAAAATAATAAAACTTTTTTTAATTTGGTGAAAAAATTACCGGTTTGGCACAAAATTCCTTGTTTATTCCCGGTTTTTCCCGGTCAAATTAAATTCTTGGATATTTCCCGGTTAGTAGACACTCTGTTTATTGTTATTAATTATTGTAATCGGTATTTTTAATTTAATTTAATTATTATTTTATCAGAAATTTGATCAAGTGAAACTAAATGACATGATTGTTGAATGGATAGCGAAGAAATACCTGCCAATAACTTTTTTCAACGACGAAACAACTCAAACTTTTTTTAAATATATCAACAAAGATGCTTAATTTC